CTTCCCTATCCTTTAAACTCTCCCCTATGTTTATCAGTTCTTTCTCTATACCTTATATTGGGGGTTTAAATGTTTATCCATTATCTCTCCTATGTTTATCCATTATCTCTATATGTTAGGGTTTAAACTCTTCTCTATGTTTATTCATTCTGTCTACAATGACTAATCTACGTCGATAAACACAGGGAATGGTTAAAGATGATTAATCTACGTCTATAAACATCGGGAAGAGTTTAAAGGGAAAAGACGGGTAAAACTTGGTTAAAGAAGGGTATAGAGGATTTCGGTTGTTCAAAAACGGAAAAATGGGAGTACCTACAAAAACAAATTTCGCTTTTTGAACAAAACAACCGAAAATTTTGAATTTTCAGTTTTTTAAAAACCGAAATTGGTGAAAAACTGAGGTTGTTGAAGAACCGAAAATCCATTGATTTCGGTTGTTCAACAACTAAAAAAGGGTAAAATTATTTTTAAAAAAAAAAAATAGTTGTGACATGAAATAAATGGATAGATGGATAATAACGAAAACTATTCGGTAGTTTTGTAATAACGCAAATTATAACGGATAGATAGGTAATAACGGAAACTATTTGGTAGTTTTGTAATAATACAAATTATAACAGATATGTACGTAATTTTCCCAAAACTTTATCCAATTTTGATTAAAATGAAATAAATATTTTAGGAATAGTTAAGCAATAAAAGCCAAACACGTCAATCACCAATAACTAACAAATGAGTGCCAGGCATAATTTATCACACGCAATAATATACCCACTTTAAGGGAAAAAAAGGATATTGGATCTTAGGTTTGCAACCACGGATGTGCTCATTTTTTGGACATGGTATTTTTGAAACACATGCATATGATGTTTTCCTTTTGAGGTAGGTCATTAGAGGAGGTTTCATCTCCGATATTAAGACTCCTAAAAACTAGTCTTTGCTCAGAGTAGGCTGTGCCTATTTATATAAAGTTGCAACTATAAATGTAGAATTAAAGTTGTACCTCAAAAATCTATCTTGAAAGGTTGTTTTGATATTGGACTACTTGATCATCTCGACATCAAAATGTATAAAAGGTTGTTTTGATATTGGACTAATTGATCATCTCGACATCAAGATGTATGAATATGAAAAGAAAAAAAGATTTCGAGTCCGATAAATAGTGCATCTTGCAGCACATTATCTGGACCGTTCATTTTCAAGGTTTTAATGTGTTTATAGATCTACTTGATTTGAACCATTTTTAGAGTTTAAAATTTTATAATTAGAGATGAAAATAGATTCTCAAGCCATCCTAAGAATTTTTTATACCAAAATTATATTTATGATAAAATTTTGAGTTGTGTGGCGTGTGCCTTACTTGGATTGTTTAAGCACCGATACTTAAAACTTTATCGACATTTATTTGGGATGTCATGGCAATTCAATCAGCATTTCGGACCTCCAAGCTTAAAAACATTTTAGATGGCAACTTGTCTCTACTTAAATTTCGGCCAAAAGTCTGAGAGTGAAAGAGTGAGAGAGATAAGTTTCTAAATTATGGTTTAAGGAGAGAGGAGACAATAAAAATGAATGTCATCATAACATGTATAGGAAGAGTGAAATTAAAATGAATAAGATTTGTGGTCTATTCATGGCTGCTGAGGGATAGAGAGGAGAGAGAGTCACAAAGGAGAGAGAAGATGGGGCTGGTGAAGCAAAAGAGGTGAAGAGAGACACAGGGTACACACACAAAATCCCTTTTATGAGGAACATGGTTTCTATGAGTTGGTCAACTCATCTCTTTAATTGAGTAATCTCTCCAAATTTATTTTAGAGATAGATTTTGCATTCAAAATTTTAGAGAATGAAAATCTCTCCAAATTTGTTTTAGAGATAGATTTTGCATTCAAAATTTAGAAAATGAAAAAATCTACTGTCGTATGTAGGAATCTGAAAAATATAAATTTTAAAATAAAAATGTGGTTTGCATAAGTTTGTTACCTTAAACAATTAAAGTAAGGTATATGGCGTACCTCAAACTTTATTATAATATACAATTTTGTTATTGAAAATCTTAGGATGGCCAGAGAATCTATCTTAACCCTTTGAACTGAAAAAATGGTTAAAATCAAGCAGACCTATAAATGCATAAAAATCTTGAAAATGAACCGCATAATGTGTTACAAGATATACTATTTTTTGAACTCAAAATCTTTTATTTTCATATCTATACATCTCGATATCCAGATGATCAATTTGATGGCTCCCCGTCAAAATCTGCCTTTTTCGATGGATCTTTGATGTTCCCCGTAATATACAAACAAGAATGTCAACCTCATATAAACTGTTTTCTAAAAATAAAAAATAAATTTTTTTGGATATAAAACACCATGGAATTTTAAAAGCTCGTGGGATGTAAATTTCTAACATCCACCTTGTAAATAAATATTTTAGTGTGGCAGGGGATGCTATTATAAAATGCATCCCCTAATGCACGTACTTTTTAATTATGCAGAAGGGAAAACTATACATACCCCCTTGACCTTGCACTTTCTATCTAGGCATGTCATCCCTAATATTTTGTAAATCGCACTCCTAACTTCAAATCCTTTATATATTTATAACCATACCCCAATCTTTTTTATATTTATAACCATACCCCAAAGTAAAACGTTAGGCTTTTTTTGTTTTTTTTTGAGAAAAAATATCCCTTTTAGGCCACGTTTTCCACCTTATCTATCTAATCCAATCATGCACAACATATGCGGAACTGTCACAACTTAATATAGAGCCAGTTTGGCAAATTTTTTTGGACCAGACCGGCTTTGTATTCAAGGTTTACTAGACCAGCACAACTTATAGATTTGGACCAACACATTTTTTGTATTAGACTGACTCCATATTCACATTGTGCTGGACCGACAAAAGCCATTCCTGCATATTTTTGTGTTGGATCGACACATATTGAGTGTCACATTTTGGAATCATACATTAAAATGGGAGGTATCTTGGTCAAAATAATTCACTATTTTACATGTGAGGATGGTTGTAAAAGAAAATAATATTGAAATTAATAGTTTAATAACAAAAATATGGGAAAGCTTTCTATGTTTCCCCTATAACATAGAAGTTTTATGTCCCCCTACCATCCAGCCGTTCATTTTTTATCAAGAGAGCCACTTGCCGTTTGATCTTAGATCCGACGTCTCAAAGTATTTTATTTTTATTTTTTTTAATACAATTTTTTTGAATATGAAATTTGGTATGTGCCATCTTCTCATTGGGGCACACCTATAAAAAATATTAACAATAATTTTTTGATAAAAATAATGATCAAAATACCCCTTCAAATTTTTGGAGGTATGTTGGCCATTTTATTTTATTGAAAATATTTTTTTTACATTTTTTGTTAGTGCAAGTTTAATATAGGAATGGATGTCCAAAATTTGGTGTCAAAATAGCTTATAGAAAATAATAATAATAAATAAAATAGTGTAGAGACGTGACATTGTAATTGGGGCAATCTTAGCCCTCCATTAAAAAATGGATGGTTGGATAAAGGGAACATAAAACTTCTATGTTGTAGGGGAACATAAAGAGCTTTCCCCAAAAATATTAAGTGGAGGATGCTTAGAAAGTACAATTTGGATAGCTTTTTATAATGGGTGCGGTTTGTATAGAGCCTAGGCTCTAAACAATCAAATTAGAGCCTACTTTCAAATAGTGTCAAGAAATGTGGTTTTAATATTGGAAATCTTTGTGATAACCTTAAAATATATTTTCATATTTATTTCTAAAGTTGAAAGTATAAAAAATAGTGTAGATCAATATATCTATGAAAACTTGAAAATATTGAAAATTTATGGTAAAAAAATGCGTCACAAAATACATTATTTCCAAAACTTACAATCCATTTTTTTCTCATGTCCATGCATCTCGATGTCCAAATGATCAATTTGAAAATATTTAGACATCAAAACAACTACTTCTAATGAAAAGTTTGAGGTAGGCTCAAATTTGATTGTTTAGAGCCAGGGCTCTATATAAACTTTTCCCTTTTATAACTTGAGGAAGTTTATATAGAGCCAAGGCTCTAAACAATCAAATTAGAGCCCACCTCAGAATTTTCATTAGAAGATGATGTTTTGATGTTCAAATATCTTCAAATTGATCATCTAG